TGCAATCCATATAGTATTATTTGTATAAACAATTGCTGCTTGTTTATATTTAGTAATACAATTAATATTTGTATTACTTAATGTCTCTTGTTCTACTGTATAGCTTAATAGTTTGTCTTTTTGAATTCTTTCTAACAGCAGATCATAAAAAAGCTGCCAGATTAGTAAAGAAATTATCTCTCCTTAGTCTATATTATCTTTTGCTATTATTTTTTTTGTTAGACTATAAGCTGTAATCACTTTAAGTTGTCATTTACTTTTTTTTTTTTTTTTGGTGTTAAGGTAAGGCCTTGCTCATATTTTTATTAGTAATTTTAGTTGTACATATTAATATACTATATATTAAAGATATACTAAGATTGTAAAATACAAAATAAAAAATACATACAAGAATTAAAGCTCAGATAACATTATTTGCAACCTAAACCAATTAAGTTGTCATTTACAAAAGAGGTTAATAATATATTTTATTATTTTTTATAATATTTTGATTCTTTTAAGAGCCCAATTCAGGCTTCCAATAAAACTGAGTCAAATGCCTTCTTTATGTCTTACAGAAGTATTCATATTTCTTTATTTTTTTTCTTGTACTTCTTCTATTATTATATTTAGTATATGTATTGGTTGCTCTGTTGAGTTGCCTAGCAAATCTGCATAATTTGGCCCTTTGAGTATTTCTCTCTCTATAAATATCTTGGCCAACCTTTTTGTTACTACTTTTGTAACTAATTTTCTAAAGGTCTCAATTAGTGCTATTGATCTAATATTGTTCAGATTGTATTTTCAGTCTATATTTTTTGGAATTGAATAAACTTGTGCTATTTTCTACTTTTTCAGAATTGCAAAAACTCTAAAAATCTTTTGTACTTTTTTTTCTGCTCATTTTATTAAAGTGTAGCTTATGTCTGAGATTCCTGAAGCTGTATTAGCTTTAAGTTCTCTTAAAGTATCTTCCTACTCTTTTTTTTCTATTTTTTCTTCTAACTTTCCATACCAGGATTCTTGAATTAATTCTTTTGAATTGTATGCTTCTTTTTATTTCTTAGATATCTCTTCTAGCTTGGTTTTCTATTTTCTGAATTGATTTCCAAAGTGCTTTGTTAGACTATTTAAAACGGTCTTGGGTTCTGTTATTAAACTAACTTCCTTTTTATTTTGAGTTATGAATCTGTCAAGAACTATCTTTTTGTATGGTTTGTTCAACAAGCTAGCAATCATTTATCCTTGATCAGTTTTTATTATCTTACATTTTCTGTTTATATTTTCTTCTATTCATTTTCTTTATACTTATTTTCACTTTTTTTTTTTTCTTTTAAAATCCTTTGCCAATCTTTTATATTATCTAACCAAACTTCTGACTATTGTTTATGTAGCTTTGGTAATACTACTTCTATTTTTTTGTCAATGTTTTTAAGTCTATTGTTTATCTTTTCTTTTTCTTCTTTTTCTGTCTTTTGGTTTCTTCTTGTTTTTACCTTTTTTATTATTTATTGTAGTTCAATTGTGTGCCTACACTGCTATGACTTTCTTTGATAATGTTTTCTGTTTGCCTTTGTATTGAATATCTTCTTTTTTGGTATTTGTTTGTTTGCTGCTTCTGTTATAGCTTCTTCTATTGCATTTCACATGTGGTTTAATATATCTGTACAGTATATACTGCTTATTCTTTTCTTTTCTAATTGCTTTAGCACTTTTTCTACTCTAATTGTACTTGAAGCTCTTTAGCATATTCTTTCCAATCTTTTTGTTTTGCTTCCTTGTATAAGTATATTGTTTTCATTTGGTCTTTATATTTAATTTCTGTATAGCTATAGTTTACAATTATATGCTTTATTCTTATGTTTGTTGTTAGTATCTTGTAGTTACTATCTGTTATGTTTTCTGCTTCCTTTATGTTGGCTTTCTTAAGGCCAGCTGTAAATGTCTCTGACAACCAGATATAGTTAATTCTTGTTGCTGCTTCTTGACTTGACCACATATATGCTCTTTCTATTAAATGCAAATTTCTAAAAGAGTTTGTAAACTCTTATCTCTTAAGCTAATTAAAGATTGGTAGTTTTTTATATTCTATTATTTATGAATACAGTCTGTCTAGTATATTGTCAACTCTGGTTGAAATCTCCAAGTATAACTATTTCTATATGCTTTTATTAGGAAAGTTTTTAAAGTTGCTATATATTGTTAGTAATCCTTAGATTACCATCAATATATAGCACCCCTGCAGAGTATCATTATTAGTGATTACTAATGATATATAACAAAAATTCGTTAAATTTTTTTAAACTTTGACTTATATTTTCTCAATAACTAATAATCCAAATTGGCTCAAATTTTTACTATATATAGTATATATATTTAACTATATAATATTAAAATTTTAGCCAATTTGAATAATTTGTTCTTGAAAAATTAGTTGTAAACAATAGTTGATTTTTTTAAAAAAATTAATTATTATTTACAACTAATTTCTCAAAAATAAATTATTCAAATTGGCTAAAATTTTAATATTATTATAATTTTTTTTTTGGTATTAAGGTGACCTCTTTGGTCTTTTGATTTTTATTAATCACTTATTGGTATTGTGGTTCAATGAATCACTACAGAAGAGCGTACAATTGGCTATACGTATAACTTTTCTATATTACCTATTTAAGGAGTCCACCCGAAGGTTCCCTACCAATTGCTATACCTAACACCCCTACTTGGATGTTTCACTTTAAACTCTCTGAACCTGTAACCTGTGTTAATATCACTGGTCATTACAAATGTACCAGATCATTATCCTCAACCTTAGAACTAATTTATTCTCAAGGTAAACCCTCAGAGCCTTCTGTACCCATTTTTACAGCTGACCTAGATATCACTATGGCAAAACTAACACTTGCAGTCAGTGCTGATCATTAAACTGCTATGCCCTTGTAGAGTTCACACAAACCCCAGCATCTACTTCACAGCATATCTGAAATACTTTAATATACCCTTGCTGGTTCACCAAACTCCCAATCCAGATAGCTTAATAGGACTTATGATTGGTCCATTGGTATATCAAATCGGCCTGATATCTTTTTTTTCTGGCTCGATCTGGCAGCCTGGTTGGTGGTACTCTCCACCTAGAGGTTTTTGCCTGTCTGGCTACTTCGACCTAGATATCCGTTTCATAAGGCTAGCCTTTACAGTAGGGCCATCAAAGATCTGGCTACCTCTCTACTCAGGTCTTCCTAAATGGACTTCTTGTTATCCAATTTCAACAGATTTACACGGCCACAAGGACTTATCTAGTGTTTGCACCGCCTATTGCCAGTTTGCATTCCTTCGTGTAACCACAACCTTGTCCCAAAGGACAATGTCATGTGACCTGTTACACGAATGCCCCATGACCTGCCAGTCATGCTGGTGCGACCGCCATTACAGGTATCCTAACCCAATCGTTAGTAACAGTTGCCGTAATACGAATATTACATAGGTGATTATCCAAATTTTCGCCATCGATGGGATTTAAACACCCAACCTACCACTTGGAGGGTTGACAACCTGACCACTTCACTAGGTTGCCACACCCTGTTGTACATCATTTGTAATTGTTTTATATTCAATTGTTTAATATATTTTTAATGTGATTATCATGTGATTTAAACATGTGATCGATAATCATTCATATAAATTCGTTTGTTTTGATTATCGGTTTAGTTAGGTGTTTTTTCAAACACCTCATACAGGGCATATTGTACAGGACAATTCTGAATTCTATGCAGGGAATTTGGACCGCTTATAGTCGTCGACGGCCTGGGTCTTGAAAACTAACTCCTCTTCTTGCTCTCTATGGAAGCATCTAAGTTTTAGTGAGTAGTGACTCCTTGTACAGGGTAAACATTTTTTGTTATGCCTGGCCGGTACGAACTGGACAGCAGGTGTCTAACCTAAAGCATAAGTGGCCTGTTCTTCTTAGGGTACCCTAGTGAGGCTATGATCTTCTTGCATAGGTAAGGATTGGAATTATTTTTAATTTACCTGGTACGAGTTGGTGCCTACGAATATGTCCCTCACCAAAATCTCATGATATGTAGCTTCCAAGTAGCGAGATTTGGTAACTTACAACTTTGTAAGGCTAATAACATATCAAACGAACAATTTTAAAAATTTTAAAAAAATTCGTCACTTTTTAAAATGTAATTTCTGAAAAATTTAATTAATAAAATAAATAAAACGGTTCTATGAAAGTATATGTTTTTTGATGTGTTCTACATTTTTTATTAATGACACAAAGTTTGTTAGCTTAGTAAAATTTTATGCAAATCGTATTTTTTGTATTGACGACAATTTAAAAACAAATAATCTGCAAAGACAATACGAAAATTGTTTCATCAAAATCTGACCTAATTTCATGAATATCAATTCGTTTAACTTAAAATTTAATATATGAATTCTTGAATGTCATTTGAATCAACTTTATTAGTATCGTACAGAATATTTTCTTTGAGTGAAATAGTCAAATTAACAAAATCGATTCTGTAAACTTTAAAGAAAAAAATTTGCCAGTAGTTTTTGAACGAAAAAATGCTATATCTCTATGAATTCTTGTTGAAACAAGCTCAAATTTTTAGGGGAAAATTTTATACACTTATTCTATCAATTATCTTAATGCGCAGTAAATGATTTAGAATCAAAATAAAAAATGATGAGTTCAATCGGTCATTGTATTTACATCAAACTGAAATTCGTTTACGAAACAAAACAGAAAAACGTTAATATCTCGATGAATATTAACTTTAAAAATCTAAAATTTAACATACTAATAGATGAAAACATGCTCAACAACTTTACTTAAAAGCGTAAAGTAGGTTTAGAATAAGGAAAATTAATCCGAAACTGATTACGATTGACTATTCTTTATAAAAAATGTTCATATATGTTTTATTTATTTAAAATAACATAAAATAATGCAATAATTTAAATATATAAATATTTTAAATTAATTTGTTAATACTGTAATATAAAAAAACCCAACTTTTTCAGTAGCTTCTTTACTACCTAATTTAGCTGCTTCCATATAATAATTTAATGCTTTATTTTTATCTTCTTTAGTTCCAATTCCATCTTCATAATAATTACCAAGTTTAAATAAAAGAGAAGAATCATTATTATTATTTTTTTCTAATTCTAATAATGCTAAAAAAGTTTTTTTATCATTAATAACTGCTTCTCGACATTGATCAATAAAACTTTTAACAATTAAATAATTATTATCATAAGCATTTTTTAAATATTCTAAAGCTTTATTATTATTTTTTTTAACACCCTTTCCTTCATAATAGCATTTTCCAACAGCAAACATTCCGTCTGGAACTCCAAATTGAGCTGAAGTTAAAAAATATTTAAATGCATTTTCATCATTTTTTTCAATTTCATTAGCAAAGACAGTACCCAAAAGATATAATATTTTTGGATATAATTCTTTTATTTTTTTAGAATCATTGATGTCTTCAATTATATCTATATTCATAGATTGAGAAAAGTTTTGAGACAAGTTTTGAGACATTGTAAAAAAAAATAAAAATAAATTCGTACATACTATAAAGTAAATTCATTTTAATGTTTGACATTTTTAAATTTATACAAAATTTATAATATTTATGTTACATGTTTTTGAACACAATGTTCTTTTATAGTTTTTATTTATTATTTAATTATTAAATAAGAACCAATAAAAAACTCATTCCTGTAGATCGCAAAATACTAAGTAAACAAATAATCGGCAAAACATAGACAAGGAAGCACAAAGTAATTAAATCTTTAGTGACTAACAGCTGCCTCTGGCCTTGGGCTCGCAGTTAACAAACAAGAGAAGCTAGAAAACTTAGACAAGATTAAAAGAAAACAAAGCGAAACTGACAACACTTCAACAGAAAAAGAAAGTCAACACAGGCCTAGTGGCCTCTCATTTATATTCTCTTTTGAGACTATACTAAAATTACAGATGGGAAAACAAACTACAAGTTCTCGCAACAACAGCTCCCTCAAAGGCAAAACTGGTACAAAAAAAGACTCCACCTATTCTGATGCACTAGCAAAGAAACGGCGTACTCTTCTTCCAAGACTCCAAAGCAGTGCAAAAAGTGGGCAATCCAGCTCACCCCCGTCAAATTCAACTATGACATCATCACAAACAAATAACAACAACAACAAACCTGTACAAACCGGTTTTGGTAACACACATACGGAATTAACCAATCTTACATCCCTATTAGAACCAATTATAGAAAGCCCCAACACCAACGATAGTCTAGAACAGACAGACAACCAACACAATATCTTAGACAACAACAAAGAACACACAAACACAGAGAATAACCACATGGACACAGAACCAGTTACAACTACAGACGGCAATCCAGAAGAACACAAGCCACTTACTTATAGTCAAATAACTAAAAAAAATATTCCTACGTCTAACAAAATGCAAACTGAAATGGAAATAGACTACACTCAAGAATGGATAGATAGTATATGTGACAGACTACAAAATAGAATCACTCAACCCTTTGACAAAGACGCTTGGGGATACGACGAAATTATAACTGCACTTAAAACAAAAAAAGGAATCTTCAACTTTACAGTACACAAATTGCAAACCAAACCAACCAACTTCTCTCT